AGCCTGAGGACTCTCAGAAGCGAGCATCAAAGCCCGAGGAACTCACAGAAGACTGTGGCTAAAGGTGCGGGCTCTCGCTAGATAAAGAGCGCTTGATTCTTGCAGAAAGCATTGTAGCGCTTCTCGCCTTGATTTCGCTTTCAAAACCAGCCAGAACTAAATGCCTCTGAACATACGGGGTGATGGCACACGATGAAAATGATTTCAATCCACACAGGTTTTGCTTTTCATTTCTCCCTCAGATTAAAAAAAAAGAGCCGTATCCCCCGGAGAACAAGCCATTGACATGAAGACACCCCTCCATCACAAACTCTCACAAACTCTCTTGTTAAAAGCATCCCTGGTGTGTCAGATATGAGAGAGAGAGGGAGAGCGAGCAAGAGAAGAAAAAAGGGTTCTCCTGTTGTAAGCCATCTGTCTTGTTTTCCGCTGTTGTTTTAAGCATGGACAAGACGTGCTTAAAAAAGCCGACTAAAGAAGATCAAGTGTCACCAATCTGTCTTATTTGAAGCTATAAACAACTGTCCCTAAGAAATAAGTATCAGTGACAAAGCCTGTGATGTTAAAGTCAAGAAAGCTGCGGAAAAGAAAGGTCTTAAGGGTTATCCGTGCTGCTTCTGTCTGTTTCGGGAGATATGGTCATCTCTCTGTTTACCAATGAACTACACAACACCAAAAAAAAACTAAAGTTCTGGAGATCTACGGTATGCAGAAAATAGAAAGCAAGTTCCTCACAGCACACTTTTACAAGATGATTTTTCAAAACCCTTGACTGGCGATGAAGAAAGCCGCAGAAACATCTGGAACATGCAGATAGGAATATTCAGAGAATAGATGAAGCTGCTCTGAAATATATTCTCCGGTGCATTCTGGCATATCTCGAGATAAGGAGAATGTTCTGGAAATATATGAATTATAAGTGGGCAACCCCTTAAGCTGCTAAAAAGGGCCCTTGTTTTGTTTCAGGAGCAAATGGTTCAGAAGCGTATACTTTGGAGATATGTGTAATCGTTTGAGTGAAAAAAAACCTAAAAACTGGCAAAAGTTCGGTGAAATTATATCAACCAACTTTCTTTTTCAATGTTCTTTTTTTTTTAAAACAACACAGTTTGTTATGGACGCTTATATGTTATGGGTTCCGTGCTACCTATAGATTCAAGACCATAAAAAAAATCTAGACTCATTCCTTAGTTTGTAAAAAATAATACAGTAAATCATACAATCGACATCTACAGACAGGACATGTTAAAATACAAGCTGTTTTGAATGAATATTCTGAAGACTCATTATGTATTAAAATGAGACATGTACAATTGCTAATACCAACTTATATGTTATATATTTTTTGTTTTGTAGTCACCAAAAAGTACAAGCACAGTTCTACTTGTAATGGAATGTCTTGGCCCATACTTCTGTTGTAAGTACATTACTGTAAAATGTGATTTTTGTTTGTTTTTACAAATGATTTGCCAAATTATAATGCATTATTGCTGGAATAATGATTGGTTTTATTTAATTGTTCCAATATTTCGTATGGCATTTTTAGCATTTGTATGATATAATAAATAATAACAAATCATAATAAATCATTAATTGCAAAACAACATTTTTATAAGGTCCTAAATTGACACATGGATTAAAAAATATTGACATTAAAAGCTGCCAGAAGAAGCTTAAAAAAAAAAGAATTTTTTCTCTTTCATTTCAGTCATTAAATGTACTCATATTTTTTTAAATGAATATTTCTGATAAGAAGTTAGATGTCTTTAGATGTGATTTAAAAAAAAGAGCCTTAGAGTGTATTTTGACAGCTCATCATTAACACCTCTTCCCAACTCCTGCTATTTGAAGAAACAATATTCTGTTGTTGACAGCAGCTGGGAACATAAGCCATCGGTGAATAAAAAAAAAAAAAAAAGTTTTCAGCATACTGATCCCTTTTCAATAGCCTCACCTTGTGTTTGTAGGCTATGAATATTAAAATAAGTCTACCTGCTGAACATTCTGAACATACACTACTGTGCAAAAGTATTAGGCCATTATATTTTCACCCCAAAAACAACATGGTTTTAAGCCAATTATTTCTATATTTTGCAATAGGCCTAGTGCAGGGGTAGACAAGTTCGGTCCTAGAGAGCCGCAGTCCTGCAGAGTTAAGCTCCCACCCTGAAAACA